TTCAGGCAGTCTAAGTGCATCATTAACAGTCACTTTTATGACAGAAGGTCGCTGGGGGGGTGGGGCAAGGTGGCCAACCACCCCCACAGATTCAAATCCTGAGTCAACAATGGGCATAGTCTGCCCCAAACGACCCCCGGTGCAGGGTTTAGGGTTCAGGGGTTTAGGGTTTAGGGTTTAGGGTTTAGGGTTTAGGGTTTAGGGTTCAAATCTAAACCCTAAACCCTAACCCCCCCCCCTAAACCCTAAACCCAACCCCTAAACCCTAGACAGCAGCAATACTGAACACGTGTGTCCTGGCCGTGCAGCTTCCACCCTTGTTGCATCCTTTTAGGTGTGAGGCCAAGGCTGCAGCTCAAGTGCTGCATTGCCTTGGGCAAATCAGAGGGTTGTCAGCTGGTGCCAGCAGCCTGCCTCACTATTCTGGTGAGTCATGGTGACGTCAGAAGCAGTACTGAGCACGTGTGTCCTGACTGTGCAGCCTCCACCCTGGTTGCATTCCTGTAGGTGTAAGGGTGTGGGTGGAAGCTGCACTACTGCCTTTGGCAGATCCTGCAGTCGGTCAGCCAAGGGTTGACAGCTCTCCTCCCTGCGTGGTGTTGCCAGGTAACCCTGCCGGCATCGCAACACCCCCGGCCGCCCGCATTGCCCCCATTGCGAAGGTTTGGGCCTTGATGAAACGGCCGAAACATGCGATGCTTGCTTGCCCTGATATATGCGCGGAGCCTCATGCCGCGCTGGGCTTTGCACCCGTGTTCGCGAACCTGCCTGCTGCACATGCTTCACTGTACAATCTCATGAGCCTGGATGGCTTCAGGAGCGGGCGACCGCGGGACAATCCTGTAACAATCCTAATCCTAATCCTTTGTATGTGCGCAGTGCAGACCATCCAGCACACACTTGGGGCCTTCATGCACGCCTGCGTTGACTGGCCAACGGTGGCCACTTGAATCCCAGACACACAACGTCAATAATACGATGCTACAAATAAAGTCATACCCCATGAGCCTAGATGGCTCGGGAACGGGCGACAGAGGGATCTTGCAACAGTCCTTATCCTGATTCGGACCCCGACTCCACTACAATACCCCCACCCATTGCCCCCACTGCGACGGCCTGGGCCGTGACGAAACCGCTGAACATGCTGTGCTTGTGTGCCCCGCATACGCGGACCTGCGGGCCGAGCCGCGCTTTGCGCCCTTGTTTGCAAATCTACCCGCGCTTGCGCGCATGCGCGCTTTTGCGCGCAGCGCGGATCAGCACACATTGGGGGTCTTCGTGCACGCCTGCTTTGAACGGCGCACGGTAGCTACCTGAACCTCAGTCACACAACGTTGGTGCTTCACTGTACAATCCCATGAGCCTGGATGGCTCCAGGAGCGGGCGACCGCGGGACGCTGTAACAATCCTAATCTCAATCCTAATCCTGAGCATACGACACTCATACATGGTCATAAATGAGATCAAGTGGAACTGCATCTGCTGCTGAATCACTGTAAAATCATATACGCCGCAGAGCCTATGACATGCAAAACCAACACGGGCTGGGAGGGAGCCGACCTCACCGGCGCCACTGACGCGTCAGAGTTCCAGTTGTTGATTACAGCAAATTGAATTGCACGCATAATAATGGGGTGCGTCGCGGCAACCCATATGTATGTACTGCGAGAACCCGCGGGCCAGCGGTGCTGGCCTTGGTCGCACAGACGTCAGCGACGCTGTGGCCGCAAAACACAATTTCAAGGACACAAATGCATATCGAGGTGCGTCGGTCAGCCAGCGGCCAAATAGGTTGCCACAACATCAGGAAACGCTCCCTCATTGAGCTGACACCCAACGCAGGTTGCGCGTTTTAGAAGGGTGGCAAAGTGTCTGCTCGGCATAAATAAATCAAGCACCAACACCCACAGCCAACAGGTGTCCATAAACAGGCACCGCGCCGTGCCACGCTAACTCTGCGGGCATCCACAACCGCTGCTCTACTTGCAGTTAAAAGACTTGAGCTTCTTGTACGCCTCCTCGACCTGCAGGAACCCACTGCCCCTTGAAATGCTGCCAACTTTCTTGAGCTTCGACGCATCCGCACTCTCGCGCAATGCCCTTGAAACATCCAGGGCTGAGCAAGATGGAAAGGCTGCCCAAATGCGCGCCGCCGCGCCAGCCACGTGAGGCACCGCCATGCTGGTCCCATCATAGCGGCGGTACGGGTAGTCGAAGATCGTCACGTTGGCGCGCAGGGTGTTCGCCTTGGGCCGCAGCTGGCCAGCGGCTGAGCTGCCCCGCACTGCGTTGAGCATGTCCAGCGCCTGCCGACTCCCGATAAAAACGCCCGGCAGTACTTTCGCACCGGACTGCATGCGCTGCTGCATCTGGTTCCAGCAGTCACATTTTGTGCCGCAATTGAGGCGCGCACCGGGCAGTATCTCGCGGTCAAAATTGTCGTCGTACGCCCCGTCCCCTGAACCGCCGCCGCCGCCACCTAGGCTGGGGTTGGGCGCCCATGCGTCCATCGACAGGGTCGGATCTGCCTGCACAAGCGGCGCGCCGCTGCCGCGTAAGCTGGCAGGGCCACCGCGATCCGCCAAACGGCCGCGGGATTGCGCGGCAGCCGAGCGGTTCCTGGCAGCAACTCGCTCCCTAAGCTCGTCAACGTCGGTGCTGCGCCACGCGATGAGGGCGCTGCCGCCGCCGTCCATGCACGACAGCATCGCCAGGCATGACTCCTCGTAGATGTCCAGGTGCCCGGGCAGGCCGATCATGCACACGCCGCCGCCCTTTGCCGCAGTGCACGCGTTGAACAATGGCGCACGCAGCTGTCCACCCACGGTCCCGCGCTGCCCAGCGGCGGACGACCGCTTTGGCGCGTCCCCGCAGTCGGCAAGCAGCCGCATGGTGCCGGTGCCGTTGATCGGGGCGTCCTGCATGGGGCGGGCTTCTGGGTAGGAGGGAGCCTTGCCGTTTCTCGCGCCAGAAGCCGCGGCGAGGGCCTTGGATGTGTCCACGTCTAGCTGAACCGCCGCGCGCACGTACTTGTAAGCGTCAGGAACCGTGGACAGAACGCCGGTGCCCGGCGCGGCGATGGCGACGGCATCGTTGCGCTGGCTGCTCTCAGCGATGCCACCGTTGCAGTTGGCATTGGCGACGCTGAGGAGGGTAGCCACATTGTAGGAGGCCGGGTAGGACTTCCACTGGGGCCCATTTGGGGGCTGCAAGAAGCTTCCCCACTCGCTGCCATTGTTGCCGGACCTGCAGCGGGCAAATTGAGATGGGGGAGAGGGTCGACAACCTCTTCAGTGAAGGCGGTAGCCCAGCTGATCATGGCTTTGCACATGCTGACAACACTCAGCTGCTTGCAACATCGCAGAGGCGCTCCATTGGATCACCTTGCCATGATGCGCTTCTGCGTGCCCGCAAGCTCACGCCTCTAAACACTGTCGCTTGCGTGGCTGTCCACCCCTCCGCGACCCACACCACCTGCCCGTGCGCCCGTTTCCCCAAGGCCCAAATCACACTCACGCTGCAACAAATAGCAGGTCCTTGCGCTTTGATGCACGCTCGAACCACAACCGTTCCACAGTGAGCGGCCCCGCGCTGCCAAAGCTCATGGAGACAACCATTCTCTGGGGCTTGCTTGGGTTCTGCTTCGCCAGGGCGTCCAGCCGCGTCTCGCAGGCTGCATACGCGCGCACAAGGTCTGACGCATACTGCCCCTGCCCCTGGCTGACGTCGCCTGACGTGTTCCAGATGCGTACGGTAAAGATGTCGGCGCCGCCAGGGATCACGCCCACCACGCCGCGGCCGTTGCGCGGAGCGCCGATCGTGCCGGCCACGTGGCTGCCATGGCCCACAATGTCCTCGCCCCATGGGTACTTGCACGCCTCATCATCACCGCTGCCGACGCCGATGCCGCAGCCTGATAGGCTGTTGGGTTTTGGCTGCAGGTCTGGGTGCTCCTTCCACAGGCCGCTGTCAATGATGCAGACGGTGATACCGCTGTTGACAGTTGAATTTGGCACATTCGTGCTGTTCGCCTGAATTGCGATTATGCCCCAAGGCATTACCTCGCCCCCGGCATATGTGTCAAGCGGCTCGTCCTTCTTGGCGCACTGCGTCTGGTCCAATTCCCACGGCTGATATGGGTTTGGCGGCGTGCTGCCTGCACGCCGCAGCGCCTCGCCAGAGCGCTGGCCGCTGAGGCCGGCGCTGCTGAGTGCGCCGCGCAGCATGCGGCGCACAATGTGGGCGAGGCCGGTTGCTGAGGCCGGCCGCTGCTCCGACGAGGCGATGGGGCCTGGCGAGGGGGTTGTCCGCTGGAGGTACCGCATGACGTCCTGCTCGGCCACGTGCACGCCGTCCATGGCTGAAAGTACTCGCAGGTGACGCCGCCGCTGCATCGCGCGTCGCGCACCAGTGAAGAGCTCTGCCGCACCCTCAAATAGGCCGCGCCGAGGGGCCAGCTGCTGCTGTGCTGCCTGTTGATGCTGCTCCTCCCCCTGCTGCTGTGTGCACTGCGAGACTGCAGCAAACCCCGGGCCACTGGTGTGGATGGTGAACCCTTGCGCTCTCAGCTGCCGCACGACGGCCTCCCCCTTGTCATCATGGAAGGCGACTGCAAAGCGCTCGCCGCACACCGGCCGGTTCGGCACCTGCGGAGCCGCCTCCGCAACGACGGCTGCGCCCACCAAAAGCAGTAGCAGGGCCACCAGTCCGCCCCACTGAACCGCCACTAGGCTCTGGAACCCGCAGTGCCGCCGCATATGTGCTGCGCGCCTCTGGACGCAGCTGCGCCTGCGCCTGCGCGGTTGGGCCGGCACCACAGTGCAACGGCGCGGCAGGTGGAAACCGGGTGAGATGTCAGCCTGCGTGCTAATGATCACGGCATGACCTTGAAAGAAGCATCAGCCGCACCTCTCCAGCACCCCATGTGTATCAAGCGCCCAAAGCAGAGGTGACCCTGGACGGGGGCTGGTCGGAAGCGACCCCACCTACCGTCTAGGAGCACTAGACGGCACTCCAAAGACCTGTGGGAATAATTTCCTTGCAAACACACCCAGCTAGGCCCGCGACCACCGTCGCGAGCCGCTTCAGCGGCTTCGTTCGTTCCAGCGGGCCTGTGTGGTCTTTTATCAGAGTGACGCTTGCTAACTCTGCACGATGAGCTTTGTAAGGAGCAAGTCAGGTTGTCAAGCGCACATCTCATGCACAAGACAGGCGCGGGAAGTGGGGGCGTGCAATGGCTGGAATCGCTGGGTGGGCATCGGCGCCATGCAGCAGCCAGACAGCCCAGTATTAAATGACCACTTGCGGCTTGTTTCACATAGCAACAAGACGTCGGACATGAATTGTGGGATGCTTTTGCACGCCGGAAATGCCGACGCTGAGACATGGCTTGTCATCCACCAGCCATCGGGCTGGCCGGGAATGGCCGTTGGGCCATACCCCAGGCAGCAGCATCAGCCATGACCACGCGGGCAGTGATGCGCTGACAACGTGACAATGTGTAAAGCAAGCACCTGCCTATGTTTGCATCATCACAGTTGGTTCATAGAACAGCAGCCCCAACCAACTAGGCTTGCACTCATAAGACATTCGATCAGCAGAAGCACATCAGGAAGGCAGCACCAGCATGCATAGGAAGCGGCATCTTTGCAGTCAGCAATCTTTCGGACGTAACCTCACGTGATCACCGTACCCGCCTGGCTGTGAGCAGTATACACCCACACACAAGGAACGGGGGCAGTGTAGCAATCAAGTCTTGTGTGCCAAAAATGTACTTAAGAGTGCTGCTTGAAATAGTGGGCCTGATGCATGTATGACATTGGGTGTGGCGAAGGAACAGCCAGCAGCATAGCAGCAGAGCAGTGATGAGTGGTCCACAAGCTAAGAACCTCAACTCTTTCTGCTACAACGGTGTACAGGCAGGAAGGAGACAGGTGTGCAACATCTTGTTGCTGCCCTGGCTGGGTCAAGAGGCACCGTTGGTCCATCATGCCAGACATAGCTGCTGTCACTTTGGGTGCGTTCAGACCCCATTCCCGGCTTTGCGTGTTTGAAAACCTCGCCTGCGCAGGCCTCCCTAGACCTGATGATGTTACACCAGGGGGCCGGCAAGGGACTGAACTCGATGTCAATTGCGGTCTCAAAAAAGGCAGATCGACACAACTGGCAGGTGACATTCGTTAGTTCAGTTGAAGCAGCGTCCCCCTCTTTAAACATGCGCTGGAGTCAATCCTGTCAATTGACGGGCGCAAAGTTGACGAGGCCGAAGCGACCGCCGTCCCTGGGCTCGACATGCACGTTCATGGCCTCATGCTTGTCCCCACGCTTCAGCTGGAGCACCAGGTTGGCGGCGCCGCCCTCCAGGGCGCTGGATGACTTCACCTCAACCAGCTCGTAGGGAATGAGGCTGTTGGAGCGCATGTTGATCTGGGCCACAGCAGACTGCGCCGCGACCGCCCAATCCTCGCTGTGGCCGCTCATGTCGACGCTGCCGTTGGTCTACTGCAAGCGGGGGCGTGATATGAGAGCGCGCCACGGGTGGGCAAGTAGGGGGGGATCAATGTCATATTGAGCAAGGGTCCAGACGAGGCGTTGGCAAGCAGCGCAGCCTGTGCTGGCGCAGACTTCAACAGCTGGCGCAAGTGCAGCAGGCGATGCAGAAAAGGAGAACCATGGGTTCCGCCATCCGCTGCACGCTAGGCACCCCACCTGAGGGGCCTCCTTGTAGTTGAGCAGCTCCACGTTGGCCCCGTTGTCGTACCCACCCTGTTGGTCGAACATGGGGAAACATACAAAGGAGAGCGAGCAAAATCACTCCGGGATGAGCGATGCTGAGCACCAGCTTCCTCCAGCGACGCACCGGTCATTATGGGTGCACCACCAACTGGCTCACAGAGCGTGCCAGCAGCTGTGAACACAACACTGCACGTGCACCGCATCCATGCACTCAAGCCCAGCATGGTGCATAACCCACCACCTCGGGAAGTTGCCTCGACCCCGGCTGCGGTCACAAGCACGCTGCTGGTCAAAGGGGGCCCTCGTGCACTCACCGGCTTCTCCCAGACCTGCGCCTCGTAATGGCGCGTGGCCCCGGCCTTGTCCTTGGTCTCAAGCTCAAAGTAGTACTTGATACCGGCCACCACCTGGGTTGACAACTTGGACACGCGCACCAGCGACAGATCAGCAACGTTCGTCTTCGCACCAATCTCACCAACGGCGTACTGCGCAAGCTGCTGCGCGTGATCGTCGACAGCCCGCTCGCTCTTGCCGCCCAGCAGTGGGGACATGCTGTTGAGAGCCAGGGTTGTGACGGGAAGCGCATGGTTGTTGGCCGCGAGGTGCAGGAAAGGCGCCATGCGCTTTGCGCGCCTTGCGCATGCCGCCATGGGGGCCCGCCGCAGAGCCTATAATAGGCGCATCATATGCTCTCACAGCCCACGAACTCACCTGTGCGCTGTGGAGCAGAAGAGCAGCAACAAGAGGCAAAAAGCAGTGCCGAGCTGGGTCATCACGGCGCGCCGGGCACCGAAAATCTGCCTCTGTTTTGTGGGAAAGACGTGGCGCCCGCCAAGGTGCGCGGAATCCCTTCAGGAGCTCGCCGGGCGGGATGGGAACGCGTGATGACTGTCGAGTTCGCTGGACAGCAGCGAGCCTGCGCAAAGAACTCAAGAGAAATTAAAGTGGAGAGTTGCATATAAATATGCCAAAGGGAGCGGGGGCGTTGTCACGCACCAGGCTTGTCGAAGTCGGGGATTTGCCACCGTTGTGTGGTTCGGCCGTCGGCAACCTTTTGGAATTGATGGCATATTCCACGTCTGCATACTCTACAGTGTCCCCATCATCAACTGAGTCATACCTCAGATCAGTGCAGGACACCATAGGCAGCTGTGCTGCTCCCTTGTTGTGCGCAGCTCCCGCAGCTGCGTCTCGTACTTCAATCATTCTGACGCGTTAGACCGGTGGGCCGGCCCTCTGCCTAGCCGAGCAACGGAGGGCGAGTGTTGCAGCGCAAGCAGACCACTGCAGCATTGCACGCCGCAATATTGCGACGGGGTGCCCCAAGCCTTGTGAACGCAGCAGCAGCGCACTGGCGCCATGTTTTTTAGCAGCGCTGTCCAGGTGAGGCAAGGTGGGCGCAGAGGGATGTAGCAAGAGCACTTTGTCCTGCAGGAGGGGCTGCTCACATTCCGCAGCGAGCCTAGCGTCTCGGCTTCCGTGTCGAGTGCAGCTGCACGCCGTGCAGCTGGGCACGTCTCCTTCCTGTCCTGGACCCTTGCAGATTCTAAGCAGCGTCCGTGTGCCCCACTGCATGCCTGCGTGCTCCATGCCGTCGCCCCATTTCACAGCAACACCTACCGATGCCCGATGCACCATCCACCTGCCCGCTCGGGGCAACGCGTCCATGCGCACCGCAGGTTGTCTTCAAGACCACAGGTGGCCGAATCTGGAACAAGCCCTGGGGCTTGATTCGGCTGTCCCCTACGCGCAAAGCCAATCGCCGCAAGAACCTCGCCCTCTTCAACAAGAACATCTCCATACTCAAGGCAGCCGCCGCAGCAGAGCCTGCGGAACCCGTGCGGCTGAATGCGCCGCTGGCGCTGTGGCGGCAGCAGCAGATGGCGAAGCACCTTGGACGCGCGCAGCAGCTGCTCAATTGGCGCGGCAGTCCAGTTCGAGCGGCGGCGCAAGCAGCTGCTGCGCCGGCTGCGCGGGGCTCCAACGCGTCACGCATGCCATGACGGGCCACTAGGAATGTGTGTCTTGCGTGTCATGTTGGTGTGCATACCTCACTGCAATACGTGAGACAGCTATTTGCATGATATTGGCAATTGAAAACACGCAGAGTCTAGTTGCTTTTGTAACTTGTGTGCAGGTCAACCTTGCGACGATGTGTCTGGTGCTCATTGTGAGAGCCCGTAGCCATGCACAGAACGCAGAGGGACCCCACCAGGCGCTGGCCAGCTCGTGGCCTGATTGTTAGGTGTGCTGCCTGACACGTGCGGCTTGCGTCAAGCACGGCCTCAAGCACTTTCGTCCAGCAACAAGCACTGCCAAGGCCGTGCCAGGGTGATCTTCACGTGTACAGCCCCCCTGCCCGGCCCCCCGGGCCCGCTCAGCGCACACTCTCCACCCTGCAGCAACCTGAGCGCCTACCACACGATCAAACTATGCCTCGTAACACATGTTAGCAGCACCACACCAATATGTTGCACGCAGCCAGATGTCATCAGTCTCCCTGCACGTCATCGTGTGCCACATCGCCCTGAGCACCATGCTTGGCGCATGCAAGTCCCACCTCTTCCCCCAGCTAACTGCAGGATTACATCATGGATAATCAAATTTTTTGGATTAGGAAACGGCTTTCTGGGGGGTAGTGCTGCTGATCTCTGTACGGCCTAAGACGTGTCGCACAGTTGAAGGTACAGGGCTTGGGTCCAAAACAATCAAACCAGTTGCTGCAGGCTTGCACGAAGGACTTCGTGGCAGGACACTCAGAAACCTGATGGAGACCAAACTTAATCCAAAAAAGGGCATGCTGTGGGGTGCATGCTCTGGGGAGGGTGGTAGGAATACACTCAAGAGGCGCGTGAACGGGCGCTTTGCCAAGTGACACAAGTGTTTTTTCACAGGCATGCGTGTCAACAGGACCTACGACGCTACGGGGAACTCTGTTGAAGCTACAACGCTAGGATCCTGCCTTGCCTCGTGAGTGACGACAGATGATACTGGGTCTGCAATGGCAGGTGGCAGCTCAACTGTCAACATGGCGCCGTCTGCAGTTGTAGGGGCCTGCGTCTCCACGAGCGTTTCATCGACGAGAGCCGCAGAGGGTAGCACAGATTGCAATGATCGAGAGCCACCACCGGTGCTGCTGTCGCTGCTGCTGTCGCTGCTGCTGTCGCTGCTGCTGTCGCTGCTGCTGCTGCTGTCGCTGCTGCTGCTGCTGTCGCTGCTTCTGATGCTGTCGCTGCTGCTGATGCTGTCGCTGCTGCTGATGCTGTCGCTGCTGCTGATGCTGCTGATGCCGCTGCCGCTACCGCCCCTGCTAAGGCTCAATGCAAAATCGTCATCATCAGCTTCGTCGTCGTCACGCCGCTGGGCTCCCTCCCTGACGGCCTCTGACAGTCCTCCATGGTGTTGTGCTGGGGTCGTCAGCCTGCCCCCTCCTGCCTGCGCTGCAAGCCGCGCCTGCATAAGCGCCAGCCGCGCCTGAACAAGCGCCTCCTGCCCCCTCAACACCTGCTGCGGCCCGTGGGTGCGCACCAACAGACCGGCACCCAGTAGCAGTCGCTTCAGGCGTGAGATATCTCGCATGCTGCACCACCGCGGCCCAGCGCTCGGATCGTCATCAGCGGGGGGGCAGGCATATGGAGTGCCTTCACTCATAACCAGCTCGGAGAAGAAAAGTGACTCCACCTCGGCCGCTGTTGCCGGTGCCTCCGCGTTGCTTCCGCCTACTTGCTGTGCTACAAGCAAGCTCTTCATGTTGGCGCCTGCGGCTGTATCCCCGGTGTGCAGTGACGCTGGGCTGTCAGCAGCAACAAACGAGGGGTCGTGGGCGTGGAGCGAGGCGGTGGCAGTCGCGGCAGCAGCGGCACTCATTCCTGAGGCCACAAGGAATGCCCTCAAGTCCAGGTCCAACACAAAGCACTGCCGGGCCTGGGCAGGAGTGTAGGGGGCAACGGGTCGTATGCGTGCCAGGTGGGCAAAGCAGGTAAGTTTTGTTGAAGGAATTGTTCTGCAATTCTGAATGTTTTTTTGGCAGGACTGCTTTTGCAAAGTGTTGATGGCCATCAGCCACCAACCCCACCGCCAAGCTGGTGGTATCATCAGGCGACTGTCGCTCTCTCAACTGCGGGGACCCACCTTGGACAGGTCTCCCGCAAGCGCCGCCTCTGCATACGCCCGTGGGCATCCTCCCCGCTGCGCCTTGGACGCAATGTCCTTTTCTGATGCATAGGCATAGTGCAACAAGGTGGTAGTCTCGCTCACAGACGGCACCCAGGCGCCAGAGGGATTGGCAGGGGTTGCCCACCTGAGGACGTCGGCAGACAGTCCGTGATGGAGGTGAGTGCTATTGTTGGTATGCTGTTATGTGTGCGTAGTGCATGTCTGGGTGTGTATATGCATGCTTGTGTGTGTGTGTGCATGTGCATGTGCGTGTGTGTGTGCATGTGTGTGCATGTGTGTGCGTGCGTGTGTGCGTGTGTGTGTGTGTGTGTGTGTGTGTGTGTGTGTGTGTGCGCGCGCGCGTTTGCGCGCGCGCACAATGGTGTGTGCGTGAGCGCGCGTGGAACGAGCACACACCTTGGGCTGGCGGAGCCTGAGAAGATGTGGGGTCCGGCCTGGTGCACACCGTCTGCATTGACGCGCACAGCAGACTTGCCATTGGAGTAGAGGTTCAGCCACACCTGAGCGTGGCGTTGTGCAGGCAGGATAGGCTTGTGATCGAGGCAGGGGTTTGCAGCACAGGTTGTTCTGAAATATGGAGGTGTTGTGCAGCCAGGCGCACGCCTTTGAAGGGGATCCAGGACAGCAGACGATCTTGTGTCAGTGCAACATGCGCCGCAGGCCGGGGTAGGCCTGGTGCAGCATCACATCTGACTTGCTCAGGGCAAGACCTCCCTCTACCACCCTGCGTTCAGCCCTGCCCCTAGGCACTTGTGAAACCGGTGCCCCTTGCCTGCACCCCGCCCTCCCCCCGCACACCGCGTTGTGTCCTGGTTTAAAAATGCTGCGCCATGGCTGTGCTGCTGGCGCAGCCATGTGCCTGTGGCCACGGAACAGGGTGGCCTGCTCGAAGCGGTTCCTGATGTGGCCCGCCTCCGGCACCACCTCCAAGTTCATGAAGCGCACAGCTGGGACGTGGGGCGGTGCGCTGCAGAGCTCCGGGACAAGGGAGAAGGCTCCTGACCCCTCCGGATTCAGCAGCTCGTCAGGGTCTTGGGTCGTATGTTGGGGTTGCGAGGTTTGGGTGAGGCTTTTGAGCAAAAGGTGGGTTGGTTTGGGTCACAAACTGGGCAATTGGGCACGCACGCATAGCCACTGTGTGGCTGCAAGGGCCCTCAGAGATCTGCAAACAGCACCTGAAACGATAGCTTTTTCAAAAGTCACTAGGGAGTTTGTGGTCGTTGGACCTCAAGCCACCCAAAACCACTCAGGCTTATCCCTGCAACCCCCTAATTCCGACCTATGTGAATCAGCCAGGTGGTGTTATCCTGTCGCGCCACATTGAGGGCCCGCGTTGTGCCGTAGGCTGCGGCTCAGCACACGCGGGCAAGAGGATCGTTTGAGGAATGTTGAAGACGACTGGGATGATAGACACACCTCACCACGGTCACTTCATGAAACACAAGGGCTTTGCAAGCGCAGCAGGACCATCGCTGCTTGCGACCTTCTGTGGTACTACCACTAAGCTCTTTGAGGCAGGCAGGTTGCGCTGTCATAATCTGCAAGGCCAACTCACAATCCAGGCCAGGCCGGCTCACCCTGTTTGACCATGAGCTCGTAGTTCCCAGGCCGTCCTCTCCAGCCGTCATTGTTGTCGTGGGCAGCCAAGTAAGACTGGAAGTCTTGCACCTCTGACGCCTCTGCCAGGGGTCCACCAGCAAGCATCACCTCCACGCGGGGGAGGAGAGCCAATAAGGTGGTGACGGAGGGGTCGGCACCATCATACAGCACGTACAGACGCGACACGCCCAGGGCAACGTGATACTGCAGCCTGCAGCGGAAGCGTGGCGAGCGTGGATAGGACGCTTCAGGCGGTGTTGAGGATTGGATATTTGTATGTTTGAGGGAAGGAAGTGGCTGGGCGTCATCAGCGATAGCCTCGCCGGTGTTGGCAGGCCTTTTCTGTCTGCCTGAATATTGGCGAAGGGTGCAGCTAGCTGCAGGCACCAGCGCTCCAAGGAGTGTCTGCGCTACTCAACACAGCTAAGGCCCTCATGCACCTGACCATCCCCCTTCCATGCACACCAGGGCAACAGCTCCCGCCTGAGCCCCCACGCGTCGCCCGCCCAGGTTGTCTGCAGTGCGATGACGCAAGGCGCAGTGCTGACCGCCGCCTTGCTCATCAGGTCCGCGACAAACTCCAGGCGCGCCCCCAGCGACCCTATCTCGTCCATAGGGTCAGCCAGCCCCAGGTCCAGGCCCGCCTCTGCAGCCCCTGGCCGAGCCTGCCGGGAGGCCGCCTCTGCCCAGCTGGGGGTCATGGTATCCAGGTTAGAGGCCCAGTAGGCACGCAGCCCCTCCAGGGCGTCCTCGGCCGGGGAGGCCATGGGGTCCACTGGGAGGGACGCGGCCAGCGCCGCGGCAACAGTGGCAGCTGCCGACTGGGTGCTGCTGCTCTCCATGCCCTGCAAGGTGCCTGCATCTAGCGCTGCTACCTTCTGCTGCTGCTGCTGCTGATGTTGCCGGGATGGTGGCATGAGCCCCAGAACCTGCTCCCGCGCCACCTGAGCCTGCGCCCGCGCCGCAGCTCGTGCGGCGGACTGCAACTCGGCCACCCGCTGGGGGTGAGCACCCACATGCGCACCAAGGGCCAGCAGTGTCTTGTTGGTGGGAAGCGCCGGGGTGCTTGAGAGAGCAGCGGTCCCTGTTACTGCGCCTGCCCCAGCTTCTGGTGTCTCCGGCTCATCAGGGATGGCCTGCTGCTTCTGCTGCTGCTGCTGCTGCTGCTGCTCGTTGCCTTGTTGAATGCTTGGTGCCACTGCTCCAGCGTTCAGCTGCTCTGGCGGAGGCGCAGCAGGCACCTGAAGGCCCCTGGGCAATGCCGCTTTCGACCCCGCCAGTCCAACCACCGCCGCTGCTCCTTGTGACAATGCAGGCGGCGTGGAGCTGCCACCTTGTGCTTTGCCCGCGTTCTCGGCCGCGATTGACACGGGGGTGCTGTCGCCGGGCTTATCAGATATTGATGTGTCGACACGAATGGCACTGCCACGCTGTTGATGGCCCGAGGCGCCGCTCGCGGCGCGTTGCCGGCTGTTCTGGATGTCCAGCATCTCCCACACCTCAGGTGCATCGCTCAGAACACTTTTGGTTGTGGTGTAAAGAGAGGGGACGTGCCAGGGGTGGAGAGTTTGGCTCAAGGTTAAGTCCACAACAACCTGCAGGGCTATGCCCATAATGTGTATCAGCTGCATGCGAACAAGCCAGCAATCGCACATTCACAACCCGAACCCACATGACAGGTTTTTTCCGGCAACTGAGGGGTATTCCAGGTGAGGTATACGTGTCACGGGGTCACTAACATTTGTTGCAGCTGCGGTGACGGCGGCAGCAGCAGTGAGGTGTGGGGGCAGCACCTACCCACTGCTTTCTTTCCTGCTCTCCATTTCCAGGGGGTCTGGCGTGTAGTCGTTGCCATCCGCGTCCACAACAGGCATGTACCTGCGCACAAAATACGAGTAGCTCGTGGGCAGCCCACACATTGCTGTTGCGCTCAGCCATTTGCAGGCTGACTCGCACACCCTTGCTGCACCCACATGTTCGCGGTGCGGGGGCCTGCGCGCACCTGACGCCGTGCATTCTGTGTCTCAAGCGGGCTGGAGAGCCGCCAGAGGAGGTAAACAGCAGCACGGCGCCGCCCACAATGGCAAGCAGCACGAGAGCAGCAGCAAGGTCGGCCAGCGGCGGGGGCCCCGCCGTCGGGGCCGACGAGCTGCGCCTCCGTCCGGGTCTCAGGATTGACCTGAGAGCGTATGGGCTACCGCCTGAATATGAAGAAGATGGAGAATTCTCAAGCAATCCATACGGGTCGTTTGCCTGGCCCGCGGACGATAGTCTTGCCATCATCCTGCGGCGTGTTCAACCGTCAAGCTTGGACCTCAGCTACGTAGCGATGTGAGTCGTGTTATTTTCAAGTACAAGATTTAATACTTAATAACGCCGCGTCAAAGTGAAGTGTGCCTTCAACACCCGCTGCAGCAGCTGCACGCTGTGTGTCCTCTGCAAACCCCCCCTTCCTGCTACTCACTAGATAGCACTGCTGCCCCCGCACCCCCAGCCAGCCCCGATATGGCGCCCAACCACCATCAACCCTGCAGGCCACACATTCTTTGGAAAAAACAGGCAACGCAGTTGCAGGGTGCGGCGAAGTTATTTACCAAAGGGCATGGTGAACAGACAGGATTGCTGGAATTGCGCAGATGCGCCAGGCGGGGAGGCGGGCCGAGGTTGGTGATTGGTACGCCATGTTTGTTCACCTCCGATATCGAAGTCAAGCAAACCGCACTAGCTGCAGGGGCAACCGTCGGAATGCATGTGCTTCGTGCGTTGGAGGTGGTGCTACCACCACAACGTGAACAGATGGCGCCCAAATCAGTGGCAAGGGCCAGGTGCCAGTGGGATGAAGCTCGGGGCACTTGTCTGATTGGCAAACGAGCCTTGTTTCTTCGAACAGGAGAGGAGCGGAAAACTGCATGTTCAGCCCTGCAGCCCCAATCCCGATGTGCCGCACAAAACCGCGGCTCTGCGGGTAGAAGCACGTGAGGGCATGCGTTTGCGTGCAGCGGGCCTTCAGGCACGCGTCTAGGTTGTGGTTGGAAGACCACGGAAAACCATACTCGTTCAGGGTAGATAGTTGCTCCCCCTTCCGCGAGACTCCAAAAACCAAAAGAACCCAGCAGGCCCCACACCCTGTTAAATCTCAACAAAGCCTGTGGGGCCGCCATGTCCAAGCGTGCGCCTTGTGGCAGGAACCTGCCGCTGGGGCCCGCCGTTTCAGCGCGCCGGGCGCCCTCTCAGCGCCGCCAGCAAGCAGAGTGGCTATGGCAGTCAAAGATTGCCCTTAGAGCCACCGCAGCCTCCAAAAACTGTCGCCGTGCACGTGCTGGCAACAGGCGTGCTGCTGCCCAAAAGTCATCGCATTGGCAAAAGGGACTGGGGGCCCGGTGGGACGCCTTGCTCTGTGGTCTGAGGCGCCCCACCGCTGCCACTCTCACAGACAGACAGCAGCAGGCGGGAGAAGCACACTTGCGCCTATCACCGGCAGGACAATGCCCCGCTCTGAATGCAGGTACAGGCCCAAGGGTCGCAACGGCACGATAGCGCCGCTGCCTGCGACGCAAACGTGTCCAAACCACTCAAGGCAGGTGCTGCAGTGTTGCCCACGGGTGTGGTCAGTCGCGCAGCGCCTGCACTGATGAGGCTGACTGGATGCGCCAGATGGCCTCACCTGCGAGAGGAGGTGGAGGTGGTGGCGGGCAGGGGACGGGCCATTCGGCAACAAAATCAAGCAGAGAGGGCACCTTTGAGCGGCACAGCGGACAAAACCCGCCACAATCAAGCATCAGCAAAAAAGCTCAGCCATAGAGGACCCCTGCGGCGCCCTAGACCAGCCCTCTGTCGCTGTACCTGCGCCCTCCGACCTGCTGCCATCATCCCTTGCCCCAAACCACCCCCAGCTGCATGCCAGCCAGCTCTCTGGCCTCGCCCCCGCCACCCCAGATGGCGCCATCGCCCCGGGTG